TATATATTCATTCACCCAAACCAGTTGGTGTATCCATATACCCAACACCCCATATATATATTCAGCTTTGTTCAGGTATTTTCCCACGTCATTATAGTTGTGCTTTTAAAGTTGTAGCAATGTTTCAGCAGAATCTCATCTGCCATCTTCTGGCTTCATCATCACAAGACTGATGATGGCAGATGAGATTCTGCCGAAATGTTGCTATAACTTTAAAAGCACAACTATAATGACGTGGGAAAATACCCGAACAAAGCTGAACACCATACATACATACATACATACATACATACATACATATATATATGGATCTTTGGTTGTTCGGGTTTCCTCCCGCGTAAGATTCGAAGTATCTAGGCAACGTTTCGATGAAGTCTCATTCATCATCTTCAGGCTTCTGTCTTCAGCTCTGTGCTTCTCAGTGATGTGAGATTGCAGCTGCTTCTTCCTTTTAACTGCTAGTGGGGGTGTGACTTGATTGGGTGGGGGCTTGGCTGTGTTCTGATTGGGCGGGGGTGTGCTCTCATTGGTAGGGGGTTTGGCTGTGTTCTGATATATATATATATATATATATATATATATATACACACACACACACTCATATAGTTTGTGTGAGAAAGAGAGAAAGAGACGGGTGATGGAGAGTCAGGGGTGAGGGAGAGACAGGGGAGAGGGAGAGGGTGAGGGGGGGAAGGAGGGAGACGTATTCTTGCTATCTTTGTTTTGGGAAAGTGTTAAAAATGCATTTGGAAATGTCAACTGTTGTCCTAAGAAGCTACTTCTTAAAATGTAAATTGGGAGATTGTTAAAACAAATAATCTTTTTGGTATTTTCAGACACAGAAAAATGCACCAAGTGCCTGGATGATCAATATCCAAATGAGGATCGAGTCCAATGTATCCCCAAAATTCCAACCTTCCTTTCTTATGAAGAATATCTGGGTATCATTCTGGTCTGTTTTGCTTTAATTTTGTTCCTAAGCACAGGCCTTATTTTAATCGTATTTGTTCAATACCGAGAAACTCCCATTGTCAGAGCCAACAACCGAAACCTCTCTTATATCCTCCTGATTTCCCTCCTGCTTTGCTTCTTGTCTTCTCTTTTCTTCATTGGTCAACCAAGGAAAGTTACCTGCCTTCTACGACAAACGGTTTTCAGCATCATCTTCTCAGTTGCAATTTCTTCTCTCCTGGCCAAAACGATCACAGTGGTGCTGGCTTTTCTGGCCACAAAACCAGGAAACCAAATGAAGAGATGGTTAGGGAAGAGCTTGGCCAACTCCATCATCCTTTCTTGTTCTGCTGTTCAAATTATCATCTGCTTCATTTGGCTGGGAGTTTCTCCCCCATTCCCTGACTCTGACCTTCACTCCCAGCCTGGAGGGATCATCCTGCAATGCAACGAAGGGTCTGTCATCATGTTCTACTTCAGCCTTAGTTACATGGGTATCTTGGCTGCCATCTGCTTCACGGTGGCTTTCCTGGCCAGGAATCTGCCTGGGACTTTCAATGAAGCCAAGTTGATCACCTTCAGCATGCTGGTCTTCTGCAGTGTCTGGGTGAGTTTTGTGCCCTCCTACCTGAGCACCAAAGGGAAATACATGGTGGCTGTGCAGGTCTTTTCCATCCTGGCCTCCAGTGCGGGTCTGCTGGGCTGCATCTTCATCCCCAAATGCTACATTATCATTCTGAAACCAGGCCTGAATACAAAGGAGCAGCTTATGACCAAAAGAACTGTAAAAATGTGAGGCAGAAGAAATTTAAGTCTGAACATTTTCCAATAGGCCACACCTAGAAAATGACCCAAGCATATTCTCCATATATAATAGGCCAATGATTTTGTTTGAAATAATTAAATGGTATTTGGAAGATAGTGATTTTTTTAATCCTTAAGGCACTATATCTGTCCACTGTCCTTAGATTACCTGAAGTCTAACATGCCATACCCAGATTTTTGGAACATGTCACTTCTGCAACAGGAATCTTGTTGATATGCCAAAAAGATCAGTTTATCCATCTCAGCAAGTTCTGTCAATTTCAACAACCATTCCTTCATAGGGGGTGGTGCTGAATCTTCCCAACTTTCAGCCTATAATAATCTTGCCACAGTAATCATATATTGAAACAATCTTAGATGGCATTTTTTGAATTGCTTATTCACCAATCCTTAAATGAAACATTTGAGCCTAAATGGAATATTTCTCTTTAAAATCCTCTGTATCTATATATGAGTTTCAAACCATTTTTAAAGCTTTTTACATATCCACTAAGGATGATATAATGTCTCTTTATGTTGTTCATCTTTCCAACTCAACAAAGCTTTTCAATAAAATGTCCATGATGTAGTCTCTGGAAGTCTGAATGAAACTGACTTGAATTCAGTATCATTGTCATTTTCTTGTGTACACTATGGCGTATATTAAAATGAAATTCTGATGCACTGCTCTCAAAAATAAGAAAATGCCACCCACAACAGTATTACCATCCCAAGCATGATGATAATAATAATGATAACAATAATGATATAATAACAGCAGCAGCATCCCAAAATGCCAAATTATACAAAAATGACACCGACATATACATCACAGTCCCTCTTGAATTCATAGCAATAAAAAGGGAGTCTTGAGAATTTAAAAGGTTGATACAAGGATGAGAAGATGGCTGGGGAAGAGCTTGGCCAACTCCATCAACCTTCCTTGTTCTGATGTCCATATCTGTGTCATATGGCTGGGCGTTTCGCCACCGTTTCCTGACTCTGACATGCATTCCCAGCCTGAAGAGATCATCCTTCGGTACAACAAAGGCTCTGTTACCATGTTTTATGTTGTTCCAAGGTATATAGTTTCTTAACTGTCATTTACTTCATCGTGGCTTTTCTAGCCAGGAACCTGCCTGAAGCCTTCAATGAAGCCAAGCTGATAACTTTCAGCATGCTGGTCTTCTGCAGTGTCTGGGTCTCTTTCATGCTGACTACCTGAGCATCAGAGGTGGTATTCAGAAGGTTCTGATCAGTTCTGGAGGACCAGTAGCGGAAATTTTGAGTAGTTCAGAGAACCGGCAAATGCCACCTCTGACTGGAGATTTTACAGTATCCTTCCCTTGCCATGCCCACCAAGCCACACCCACAGAACCGGTAGTAAAAAAAAATTGAATCCCACCACTCCTGAGCACCAAAGGAAAATCTATGTTGGCTGTGCAAGTCTTCTCCATTTTGGTCTCCGGTGCTGGACTGCTGGGCTGCATCTTCTTCCCAAATGCTTCATTATTATCCTGACACCAGATCTAAACACTAAGCAACATCTAATGATAAAAAAGGGACCTGATAATGAAATTGTTTCTTAGTCTCATGTCTTTAATTATTGGTTGCAATTATTGTTGGTTTGTATGCTTTGCTTGCATTTTTGACAATTGAGGTTATTTAAAAACAAATCACTAAATAAAATAAATGAATAATTAATATTAATGTTTTTAAACTGTTCCATTTCCTCAACACATAGGTTAACCAATATTTGCCCTAAGTAACCCTTTAAGAGAGGGCACATATGAACCATCTCCTGGGATTTGGAATGCTTTAAGTTTGGTAGGTATTTCCAAAGTTACTTAGTTACTTCCTCTCACTTCATGGGAACCAGGAACAATGACTTTGTTGGACTTTTCTTCTGAGGTTTCTGAAGGTGGAGGGCACCTTAGGTGATTAGATGAACTCTCAAAGTCAGGCCTTCAAGTTTGCAACTGCTATGAGTAACTAATAGTATCAGATATGGGTCTTTCCACCTTAGAGACAAGAGCTAAGTCATTAATATTTAAATAGAATTACAATGATTTAAATAAGCACCCTTCTCTTATCCCTTAGTAAGTATAATTTTTCTTATTTTCTCCTGCTTGGGCAGGGGATTGGACTAGATCAGCGGTCACCAACTTGTGGGCCACGGCCCACTGGTGGGCCATGATGAAATTTTGGTGGGCCGCAGAGAAATTTCACCCCAGAGCACCCCCCCCCAAAAGCAATTAATCTAGGCTGCGCAGAAACACAAGGCTGCTCAGCCCACGTGGCCTGCAGGAACCCTCCTCGCCCACTCACTCCTTACCTGGCAAACTTGTCTGCTAAGTTGCTATTTTTCCTTTTTCTGAACATCAGCTGTTCTGCTGTGCCGGGAGATTTAGATTAGCTAGGAAGTAGGAAATGGTTGGATTTCTTGCTTTCTAGCTAAGCACAGCTGAACCTCCCTTAGGACGGGTTTGCTGAAGGTTTGCTTGCAAGAAAATTCAGGGCAGACTCACAGCAAGCAAATTTGAGAGACTGAGCTAGCCAATAGTAGATAGATAGATGACTGAATGATTCTGTGAGAAACTCAATCTGCTTGCTTTGCATGATTTTGGATAAAAGTTGCTTTTTTATATAAAAAAATCAATGTTTACACACATGGTGTGTTGTGAGTTAATTTTGTGCTTCTAATTTTTGCTTGCTAGCAAATTTTATGTGACAGACTGAACTAGCCAATGGCAGATAGATAGATTTCTGAATGAATCTGTGATTCTGTGAGCAACACAATCTGCCTGCCTGCTTTGCCTGATTTTGAGTAAAAGTTGCTCTTTTTTTCTAAAAAATTCAATATTTATATAAATATGTATAATATTTACATACAAGCCATGCCCAGCCAGTCACATGACCACCAAGCCACACCCACAAATTAGGCCACACCCACAGAACCAGTTAGTGGTCCCTGGGATCCAAAATTATGAGTTTGGTGGTCCCTGAGGTCCAAAAGGTTGGCGACCCCTGGACTACATGACCTACAAGGTCCCTTCCAACTCTGATTATCTGTTATCTGTTCTCATGGCTCCCTGCAGCCAAGACCGCCCTCGCAAACAAGGACTTATACCGAGGGCTTTAACTCGGGCCAACAGTCTGACTTCCATTTCAAGAATAATCAATTTCCTCTGTAATATTTCTTTGGTTAGTGTGTCTAACTAAGTTCTGTGAGGGTAACAAACAACTTTTTCTCCTGATTCACATAGTTTATCATTGGATGGTTCAAAATTGAAGATATAGAATTGGCTGGAAGGGATGACAAAACAACAAATAGACCTGAAACCAGAACAATTTTTATTAGGAATAATTGCAGGGAAATACAATAAGACTCACATATTTCATCATACGTGTAATAACTGCAGCTAGGATCCTATCCGCATAAAACTGGAGAAGTGAAAGGACTTCCACAGAGGAAGAGGTAATAAAAAAAAATTAGAATGTGCCGAACTGACAGACTTTCAATGGAACTGAAGGACAAAGAGGAATCAGAGTTCTACCAAACATGGACAAACTGTATATTTGGATATATAATAGATACAGAGATTAGGGTTGAAAAATGAAAGAAGATCAACCAAATAAAAATAAATACAGAGTTAGGGAAATATGTAAAAATAAACAATGTAAGAAATATTATTATTGAATTGTACTTGAATATAATATGATATGCACAAAATAAGAACTGTAATAGTGTATTATGGTGGAATTAAATATATAATAGTTATAATTCGTATATATAACACAGTGTAGTCAAAAGAGATTATGCTGTATGATAGTTGTAATTAGGATATATAGGGTATATTTATCAGAGGTGGTATTCAGAACGTTCTGACCAGTTCTGGAGAACCGGTAGTAGAAATTTTGAGTAGTTCGGAGAACTGGCAAATACCACCTCTGACTGGAGATTTTACCATATCCTTCCCCTGCCACACCCATCAAGCCACGCCCACAGAACCAATATTAAAAAAATTTAAATCTCACTACGGATATATATGTATGTATGTAGGATATATATTGCTCGGAGTGTAATAAAATGTTTTTCTCAAAAAAAATAATCTTTTAATGCATCAGCCCACATTGCAGAAAAACCATATAAATGCCTGGATTGTGGGGTATGTTTTACCCAATCTTCAGCGCTTCACATGCACACCAGAGTGTCCACAAAGGTGAGTGGTCTTATGAGTGTGTGGAATGTGAGAAACCTTTTCATTGCAAATCAAAGCTAAAAATGCATCAGAAAGTCCATAGCAGAGATAAAACCCCTTCAGTTGTGA